AAATACGGTATTTAAATTTTCAGCTTTTTCCTTTTAAACATATTTAAAGTGTAACAACACAAAACACTGCAAACCACAACACAATCCAACATAAATTAAAATATGAAAACAAAAAGTACATGCATATTCTCTGTCAAATGGGCCTGCATGAATAAACTTTCTGAATCCTTTATCATCCAACTGAAAATAGTTGTGGATGATTACTATACCTTTTTAATGTGACGTTGTTGTCTCTGTCTCTCCATCCCGCTCTGTTCCTGTGCTACTGCGTGTGTAGCACGCAGTAGCACAGGCCCTCCCGGCCCTCCCCCCTCTTCCCAGCGCAAAGCACAAGGCTCGCATGCGGAGTGAAGCGGAAAAAAAGTGCGAGACAGAGGGTGAGAGAAAGAAAAAGAAAAAAACCCACAGCTCACGATAAGGAGCTGGCTCGAGTCGTTGACATCAAAGAGCCGGCTCTAAGAGCCATTTCGTTCGCGACGACACATCACTACAAACACAACAAGCGGCCTATTTCTTGGAGGATGAAGTGCTGGGAATAAAGAATGTTAAGCTGTATAGCTGAAATTACGTTGCCTGCAACAAACTTTAGTGAGGACAGCATACCTTATGCAGTTAAGGACCAAAATGAAGAAGTGAATCCTGCCTTAGGATAAGTCACTTTGTTGGGAACAGCTTCTCTCTCTAGCATTTTTTATTCTTTGCTTGCCATATGTTGCCATTCAAAATCTTTCAAAACCTCTGAATTCATGGCTAAACATCCTTTAAGCAGGTAGGAAGAATGTTTTTAAGCCTCCAACTAATAATTTGAAATTCCTTCATTAGTTCTTGATTCCAACAACAGTCAGAGACTTTAATGTTAATAACCTCAACCTCATTGCTTTACTGTACTCTTAATGCACTGTGATTAGAATTCTTGCCTTGCCTTTCACAGATGCACATCACTATAATGTTATATAACACAAAGGCTACAGAAGCAGTTGCCCTCTGTATCCTGCAGTCTTACCATTAAAAGTGCAGCCTGTTGATCCATGGTCTGTCCGGAAGGCCCAGTGACCTGGTTCATTGACGTTGCTGCCAAGGCGAAAATTTGAGTTACTCCCTGATGCAGCACTGGTGAATGATCCAGGGAGGACATAATAGTGAGTGGAGTCGATTGTATCATAACCAGCCTGCAAATGTGAGTCACAAAAATATGATTATTGCATTTAGAAATAATGAATGTTTTTTCATTAGTAAATATGCAG